TACCACAATTTTTCTAGCCCTGTGCTCACTTGATATAACTCAAAACAGTATTTCCTAGACGTGTGCTCACTTGTACACTTAAAATAGTATTTTCCATCATAGTAGTTAAACCTAGTGCACACTGTGTGTATACGTCTGGGCTAGTCTGTGGTGTTAAGCTATTAAACTCCCATTTGGCAAAGTTTATGTTTACAAAATTTTTGAAAAGGGAAACAAAAACTTGTTTGGTATCTAATTTTATGTTTCCAAAACCTGGAAACAAATTTCAGAATTTATTAATCATCTTTCCTAATACTATATTTTGGTAGATGCATTAGAAGAAAAGATTCAGTAAGTTAATTAAAGATCAACTTTGTTTGATCACAGTTTTCCTAGCCTTGTGCTTACTTGATATACTCAAAACAGTATCTCCATTATAGGAGGAAACATGTTGATTAGTTTTGAGGATGTTAGGTCATGACTTGACACTATGTGTGTATACACTCAAGCTAGGCCAGCCCAATTCGCAAAAGTGGTGCCTAAGTCCAAAAGTGGGCTAAGCTCAGTAGAATTTTCTAGTGGGCCAGGCCAGCCTAGAGAAAAAATTCTTTGGGCCAAGCCCTGATAGGCTTGTGAGGTGGTCAATAGGTTAGGCCTAGCAGTTTGAGATTAAAGCTTACTTTTCTTCCTCCTTTTTAGCCTTGTGGACCAGGCTGGTAGCCTAAGCCCAAAAGTGGGCTAAGCTCAGTAGAATTTTCTAGTGGGCCAGGCCAGCCTAGAGAAAAAATTCTTTGGGCCAAGCCCTGATAGGCTTGTGAGGTGGTCAATAGGTTAGGCCTAGCAGTTTGAGATTAAAGCTTACTTTTTTTTCCTCCTTTTTAGCCTTGTGGACCAGGCTGGTAGGCCAACAGGTCGGGCTACAACTCCTAGGCCTTGTCCCAACCCAAGCCCTTTTCGGGCTTGCCTAGCCTAAGTAGGGTATGGGCCTAGTCCAGTGATCAAATGATGAGCCTACAACACACTTTGATAGAATCTTAAAAGACACATACTTTTGCCATGTTTTTAATATGTTTTTCCACTTCTATTGCAACATGCTTATTATGCATTAAAATGAATACATGCAGAACCAAAATAATGAAACTCAATTTGCATTTGCATTTGCATCCTTATTCTTATTTTTGCCTACTTTTCTTGCTTTCTTGGATTCATTTCCAATGATTTTTCTTTGAACTAATTCACCATAAAGTTATGGATAGATAGAGGAGAACAAAAACTCTCATGTCAAACAAGACAGAAACATTAACATAGCTTGAATTGCAAAAGATCATACAATAAAGCAGGCAAAGACCACAAGACAACTACAAAAGATATGACTGAACAAAGCTATATGACTCTTGAAAACTTATACAATCCATATTGGAAACAACCATAGAAACTCATCATTTCAGGTGGTCTAGGTAAATTTTGGCCACTTCGAGCTTTTTCAAGTACAATAACAAAGTCCCACACATTCATAACAATTTGAAGCATATTGGAGCAAAAAAATGAAGATTGTGCAGTCAAATGCTAATTGCAAATGCCTCAATCCTGGCCACAACAAATTACAAGACACTTGAGAGTGTAAAGTGATGTTTGAAAAAACTGAAAATTAATTACTAAAAACTAAATGCCATTTTTTTTTAAAATTAAAAAATGGATAAATTACACTTTTAACCCCTATAATTTGACTCAAATTTCATTTTGGTTCCCACTGTTTCAAATTAAACGATTTGGTCCTTTTGTTCAAGTTCAACGATAAAATTAACCATTTTGGAACACTAGTCAGTCTCCTGAGGTGTACGTGTAAAAACCATCAACAAAAATTTAGATGAAAGAACCAAATTAAAACTGGACAAAAAATGTAGGGATTGAGTTGTTCAACTTGAAACAATAGGGAAATTTAGGATCGAACTATAGGGGTAAAAAGTGTAATTTATCCTACAAAATTGTTTGATAAAAATTTAAGTGCTAAGCTAAAACAAGTTTTTTGTACCCATTGTTGTCAAATTGCAAATTGAATCTTGAATTATAAGATTCATTATATTTAATATGATATATATATATATATACATACATAAAAATACACAAATAGGCAACCATGCCCTATGGCCTAGTGCTTGTGTAGCACCACTTTGTGGTGTGAGATTTTAGGTTCAACTCCTATGGAGGAGTTTGATACCCTTTGTGGTAATGTTTATTTCTTTCCCATTATGGGAGCTGTATGTAGCAATTAGTGATTGTTGGGATTGGGCAGTGATTTGAAGTAATATTTCTCATATTTATAATAACTCTCATATCGATTGTCAAAAAGATAATAATAATAATAAAATAAAATACACGAATAGAGTTTAAAATGCAGTAAAAATCAATATAGCCAAACTGTATATATGTATGTACATATAAAATCAAGTATATCAATATAACTAATTAATCACTTCTATACATCTTGATAGTTTGGCAAAAATGGTGTCACTTCATTCATTATGTAAACAAAAACAAAATAGAACTCAATCATAGTTAATCATACTGAATCACAATGAATCGTAGCAAATCATAAATTGAATCGCATGATTCACTCAATTTTTGATTTAATAATACAATTCAAATTATTTTTGTTGAAACTCATATCGAATCATACATATCAAATCATGAATCATACCATTCTAACAACTGTGTTTATATCTCTACAAAATGAAGTTTATTATATTCAAAACTTCCCTTCCAAATTTTACATTATAGTGGTGACATGGTGATAGTGATGGTAGTAAAGGTGGCAGTGGTGGTGGCTATAGCGCCAATCGTGATGGCGATGGAAGTGAGTGGTCGTGGTGATGATGGAGGGTTGTAGTGGAGATGGAGTGGTGGTGGTGGGGGTGGGGGTGATGGTGGTTGTAATGTAGTGGTGGCGGAGGGCTAGTGTAGTGATGGTGATGGTTGCTAGCAGAATGATCATGTGCATTTACATAGTAATTATTTGATATATATATACAATGTCAAAATGTAAGACTAACATGCAAGAAAACTAAAGGTGTAGTGCACGCGTGCATGAATGCACGCGTGCATGAATGCGTGTCACCAGACTATTTCACATCTACAAATCATCAAAGTACACTGATCAATACTCAACTCACAGTTGCGCTTATACTTCTTGATGAAGGCATAAAGGTAACACGTAGTGTTTGCATCTACAGATGCCGCATCTACAGATGCAAACATTAGCTAAAACTTACATCACTCGCATGCAAGGCATGCTGCAGATTCTAATAGTGACAGTGATGACAATGCCCCAGCCGGTCATCAAATCAAATCACCAATCGAAGATCTATTATGTATGCCATTTTATTAAAATAAATATTATGTATTTTGTTTTATTGTTTATCAGATATTAATTAGTGGTAGGGGACCATGGGCTTAGTTGCACGAAGCGGGAGCGGGAGCGGGAGCGGGGGAACGTGACCACTTAGAGGAGTCGAAAATTAGGAGCGCTTATATATTATAAATAAAAAATTATAATATATAATATAATATGTATATATTATATATATGATAAATTATATATATTATATAGTATATAATATAATATGTATATATTATATATATGATAAATTATATATATTATATAGTATATAATATAATATGTATATATTATATATATGATAAATTATATATATTATATAGTATATAATATAATATGTATATATTATATATATGATAAATTATATATATTATATAGTATATAATATAATATGTATATATTATATATATGATAAATTATATATATTATATAAAATTATATTTATTATATATATTATATATATATGATAAATTATATATATTATATAATATATAATATAATATGTATATATTATATATATGATAAATTATATATATTATATGTTATATGTATAATATATATGATCAAACATAGTAACATGGAGACGAAGAGAGAGAGTGAAGAGAACAGAGACGAAGCAGAGAACGACGAACAGAGATGAAGAGGGAGAGAAGCAGAGACGAAGACGATCGAGAGAGTGACGAAGATCGAAGCCCTCATAGACGAAGACGATCGATCAGGTTAGGGTTTCTCTCTCTCTCTCTCTCCTTTACGATCACATCTTGGACTGAATCGTGTTTCTCTCTCCACAGAAACGCGATTCTTACACGTTTCTTTCGTGGAATCGCGGAATCGCGATTCTTACTTAGAATCGCCACCTAGTTGCGCAATTCCTGCAACTAAGACCACGGGTCATGGGGTAGTAGACTAGTGGGATAAGGTAGTTATAATGGGTTTAGTTGGTTGTAGTTTCCTTGTATATAAATAATGTCTATTAATTAAAGGATGATGGATATTATCATACTTCAATTGTGAAGAACAAGAAGTCAAGTTCTCTTTGAAGTGAACCAATTGGAGGTCTTCCCCTATCAAAGCGGGTATTTTCTCTCCTTTCTATTTTTATTTTTGTATTACAAGGTACATAACAAAAATTATACGAACCACTTGGGTAAAACTCACCCTTGAAAACCGACTTGCAAGGTCCACAACGGCCCACTCTATCAACATTGACCTAATGAGCCATTTCCCTTCCAGTGGCTTCACTCACCTATCAATATTCAACACCTCAGTGGGTACCTAATCTGGCCTATAGGTCACCCCCTCTGTGATGCAAACCGCAAAGTTGCATTCAACCGATCCTATCCGTCCAATCTCATTTGCACCCAACCAATCCTATAGTTGCATAGCTGCATCCAATCCCATACTCGAACTGGTGGCTAACATTGATACCAAATGATACAAACCACTTGGGTAGAACTCGCCCTTGAAACTTGGCCTGCAAGGGGAGGGTGCCCAAGAGGCTTATATGCACATGCCAAGGCCTTTGTTAACCGATGTGGGATCTTAACAAGATTACACTAATAAATAGGTAGTTACTGCAAGCACCATCCATAAATATCAAAAGCTGTGTGAAGATGCAACCACAAACCTCTTGTTGTAAATGTACACCAAAATCTCCAAAAACAATATTTCCGGATGCATCTTTGGCATTGGTTTTCTGGATAAAATTCTGCATAAAAAAATTTTAAAAAAAATAACATGAAGCGCAAAACCAATAGTTAGTTTTCTCAATGTTGAATAAAATTCATGATAATGATATAACATCAAATTTACATTTCAGAATATTAAAAACTGACTCTTAAGCTTTCACAAAACAAAAAACAAACACAAAAAACAAACAATCAAACAAAAATTAACAATATGATGTAGGATGCAATAGAAAGACAGAGAAGTGAGAAGAAGAGAGAAAAAGAAGAGGGTCACAACCCTAAGCACAAATTGCCACAGCGTAAAAACTCAATTCTTTATGACTTAAAAATAAAAAAATAAAACAATAGATACAAAATCTTTATGTGCACACATTCCACATCACAATACCTACAAATGCATCATGTTTCAAGCATCAAAAAATTAAGTATTTAAAAAAAATATAATAAAAGAAACATAAATCTTTAAAATTTCTGAGTTGACAAAAATAAATAGAAGAAACCAGATTGAGCTTAATATAAAGCCAACACTCTTCTGAAAATTTATTTTATTAGCAAATGGCAAACGAAAAGAGAGAGAGAGAGAGAGACCTGCATGCCCATCCACCCTAGCTTATTAATCACATAATATGCATACCCTATCATTTTACTAATTGTATTTGTAGGTCTTACATGCCAAAAATAATTACATAATTTTTCTTCAAGAGATTACGTGCAATGCAAGCATGAGGGAAGAGCTTCATACATTTAAATATGTTATGTTACTATGTTCTTGTGAGGAAAATATAAGATCGTGAATGGAAGCTTGTACATGGAAAAATTTAAAAAGGGAATTGAATTGTCCTTCTAATGGTCTAAATATCATAATGGAAATGACTAAAAACTTCAACATATAAACATCTATCCTGCAAAAATTTTATATTTTGTACAAAATTTTGAACATTTAATGAAGAAATGTTTTAAATGATGCTGGTAACATCATCTTGGTTTCAATCCCATCAAACAGATGCCCACACGCACACAAAAGGAAAAAAAAGGGAAGAAAAGAAGGAAAGAATAGATGAAACAAAGAAAAATAAATGAAAATTTCCACATATAACATTAGAGTCACAAGGTAAGATAATCAATTTTCTAGAAATATAAGATATGCAAAACACAATGGAAATTCAAATGAGGCCAAGATGTGGTAAGAATTCCGTAAAAGAAAAACCAAATCTTTAGATAATACTAGAAAATGTATGAACAACTTCTCATGTAAATTTTAAGAGAAGAATTTTGGGACAGATGATGTGTACAAATTTGACAGTAAGAAAGTTACAGGCACATAAAAAGAACATTGATGGGGGGAAATCAAGAAGGAAAAATGTAACATCCAAGACATTCTTTCATGACATGAGCATAAATTTGTTCTTGTTTAATTGCCTATTATGCATTTGATAGTCTTGCTATTAAATGTTATATTGGAATTTAGAAATTCATGTTATAGTTAGAAATTTGAAGTGTAGAAGGTTGGGACATGGGAGTTTCACTACTATGTGCTTCCTTGATGTTTAGAGATATGGGATAGTGTTAAAATCCGCCTACTCTCCACCTACTTCACCCACTTAAACCTACTCCACTAAACCTAACCCACTACACCACTACCACCTCACCCACTCCGCTAAACCTAACCCACTACACCACTACCACCTCCACTTCACCTACTCCTTACCTACTACACACTCACCCTCTTCTATATATAGGAATCATGAATCATTGTAATTGATATCAATATAGATCAATCAATAATATAATCATTTCTCTTTATATATTAAATTTCTACATGGTATCAGAGCAAGGTTAAGAACTTAGTATTTTTCGCTTCACCGGCGGGCGGCAACCTCGCCTTGGCCACCCGCCGGACCTCAACCTATTCCACTTATTTTCTACACATTTTTTTTTTACTTTTTTAGATGCACCTTACTTAGATGTATCTAAAAAGTAAAAAAAATGTGAAAAAATATTTTAAAAAATTAATATATACATAAAAATACAAAAAATGTACTGAATTCTTGTATTTTTTTTTGTATTTTTGGTATTAGTGAATTTTTAAAAGATTTTTTTTACAATTTTTTTACTTTTTAGGTGTATTTATGTTAGGTGTGTCTAAAAAGTCAAAAAATTGCTTAAAATATTAAAAAAATTCAGTAAAAACAAAAAAATACGGAAAATAAGAAAGTAGAATTTTCTGAAAAGTGTTTTTTGAAAAGTGGAAACAAGCAAGGTGTATATCCTAAATTCCTAAGCAAGGTGCTTAAAAAATTTGAACTAATGTGCTAGATGATTTCATGGCTTGTGTAAAACCCTAACCAGGATTAGCAATAATTAAGTTATTGAAGAACAGAAGTTGACCTTGATTAATTAAAACGAAGTTTGATTTAACTAAACTAATTGAGAGGATTAGGATTTGGTGAAGCATACACATAGGAAAAACACACATACCTCCCTAAACCTAGTACACCTCCTACTTTGGAGGGATAAAGTGTCTCCCTATTATAATAAAAGAAGAAAAATATAGTTTTTGAGAGAGAAAATCTGCTAGAATAGAGAAGCAACAAGAGAGGAGAGAATAGAGAGAAGCAACAAAGAAATGAGAGGAAGAAGACGACAACCTAATTCTTGACTCCAACAACACTTATAGCTAACCTAAAGGTAAGATTCAACCTATATTTCATGCCATAACTTTCATAATTGGAAGAACTCATGCAGGGCATGAATTTAGAAGAAAGCATGAAAGAAAATAAAGGAAACTAAGGTAAGTGGATGTATTGATGGAAAATTTATGTTTTTGAGAGATTAAATCTAAAGTTTTGGCAATTGAAATTCAAGAGTTTCATATGTTTAAGTCATTTGTATTAAGAAATTTCATGTCTTCATACCCTGAAATGGTGAAAATTAGTTTTGAGAAAAGGTTGAAGTATGCAGCAGAAGCAGGTGGGGAATTCTGCACCAATCCGCATGTGCAGCATAGGACCCTGCCGCACATGTGGCAAGAAGCAGGTGGGGAATTCTGCACCAATCCGCATGTGCAGCATAGGACCCTGCCGCACATGTGGCACAGGCACAGAACCAAGGTTCAGGGATGCACAAATCCACACGTGCAGCACTGAATGGTTTGGCCAAATTCTTTTTTTTTTTTTTTGACTCACCGAACCTCAAATTGAATGCTTAGAACTTGGATTAAAAGTTAGGAAAGACTTTGATTTTCACCTTAAAACTTATAACTAGGAAGGAAGACTTATGTTAGGAAGAACACATGAGTTTATTCTCAATAACTTAGGATTTGAACTAGCCAGAATAGTATTTCAACGAATGTTGTTCTTTGTACTTGTGTAGGTTATAATCTTTTCGAATCATCCCATTCCTAAGAGTCATTGGTGAGTAGTATTATTTCAAAGTTATGTTCAAACTCTTATTTTGGAAGTCAAATTTTACTATGTTTCAGTTTACATTGAAATGCTTTGATATGAATGAATATCCTATGTTATGTACCAATGTATAAAGATGACATCCTCCCATTGGTCCTAGCTCCTAGAGGACTGTAAACGTGCTAGAAGTGGTATGATTGAGATCTCCCTTCCGACCTGCCGATGGTCTCGTCTAATTGGTACCGAGGCCGGATATTCCCTTCTCTTGACTCTTGTCTTGCTCTGATGGGTGTAAATTATTATGTTTTGAAAATGTAATACACTTGGAAAGATATGATTTGAACTTGCTTGAATTATGAATATGAACGTTTACTATTTTGTAAAACTTGTTGGTAATCATTCATCTTACTACTTTGCTATAATACTATATGGCTCACCCCTCTCCCCCTATATGTATCTAGGTGATGAAGAGCAAGTTTGAAGAAGACCTTGTTTTGCATGAGCTTTGTACATATGTAATATAGTCCAAGTTATGTTTTAAAAGAGTTTGTAAAGTCTTATAAATATTAGTTTGGAAAGGAATAGACTATCTTGTAATGTTTTGTACCTTTCATTAGTTTGGAAAGGAATAGACTATCTTGTAATGTTTCGTACCGTTTGTAAGCTATGTACTCTCTTGAGATGTTTTGAGAAATATAATGAGAACTTGAATGTTTCATTTCATTACCTATGCACTTGCTCTGTATGGATCCATAACTAAATGAATATTGGTTATTTTCCTCAACTCAATTGTTGTTCATGGCAGATTGGTCTAACTTCGTGAGAAAAGCATAAGTTGGATCTTTGTCAATGGTAGTGGAGATGCTGTGCGAGAGCTGCTCTAAGCGCTGCACAGTGCTCACTTTGTTGGTTATATATCAGTTATAATGTTATGTATTAGGTTGTTTGAGCCTTACCTACTCTTACGGGGTGTGTAAGAGACTATACTTCTTATCTTGTCTATCTTTCTCATGTCGTCCAGGCTTTGTATCTGTTCAAGGCCCCCATTATTATAGTTGTGTGGCCCTCGAAAAGCTTTTGTTAAGCATTGGTCTTTGCTATTCTAGGTTGGTCTTTGTTTATGTATCCAGTTGGTTTCCTTGTCTCTGCGGGATGCACAGGTTGTGTTGCTAGTTGCCTAGTTGTTAGGTAATATTTTCATCCCTTTCATGTTTTGTTGTTTAGTGTGTTAGGGCCTGGGGCATATGACTTGTATATATTGTATTTCCTCTCTGTTTTATTTTATAGATTCATCCAAAAAAAAAAAAACTAAACGAATATAATACTTCTGCTAATTTTGCCCCAATTATTACCAGTCTAATTATTTTTTTGTTTAGTTAGGCCTCTGGTAGTCAAGGACTACTAGCCGGTCACCACTCTATTTTGGTTGAGGCGGGATAGGGTCAGGACAAAAAGTGTTGCACAACACAACACAGCTTGGACACACTTAAAGTACAAACAGCACTGATCCTTGCTAGGAAACAATGTGCAATGTGGTAAAATGATAGATGCAGCATTCCAAACACTAGGGCATCCATCCAGTGGAAAAGGTGATGGTGGTTTGCATGTTTCTATCCCTATATAACTTGTCTTTTGTACAAATTATTATATATTTCAAAATATATAAAATAAAAAAGACAGAAAAGATAAGGCAATATTGACAAGAAGCTATACAACATCAGAACTGGTGAAAACAACATATGCCAAAGGTAAATAATAAAAGCAACATGTTATCAACATGTATAATCATTTCAAATGGGAAGAACAGAGGAAGCGGGTGTGGGTGCAAAAACATGGTCTATAATCCAGTCAAAGGATCTAAAACTGGAAAAACAGGACATCAATTCAGCTATTAAAGTCATAAAATCAGCAATTCTGCAGTGATTAAGGCCTCGTTTGGGAAGGCTCTGTGTTAGCCAAAAAGTCAAAAAGTTACTAAATTAGCCAAAAAGCCAACAACCCATACAAAAAAGTCAAAAATTCTCTTTTCTCTCTACTTTTTGCACATCTTTTCGTAATTAGCCAAAAAGTCATCCCAAACATACTAGTTTTTTTTTAGCTCATATTTTAGCCAAATAGCCAAAAAGTTACTAAATTAGCCTGTTCTCAAACGAGGCCTAAGTTACAAAATTTGTTATAACCACATATTGGTCTTCCTGAATTTAATATCACATACATGAATTTTTCTCATGCGTTTCCTTAAACTATTTCAATAAATGGTGAAAGCAATGGATGCATATGGAATTATGGATCATTTATTTGAATATATTTTACCTATAAGCCTATATGTGAGAACACAATGTAACTCACCTGCCCAGCACCCTCTGCTACACAGACTACAGCCGATCCCTTTGTCTCAAGTAGGTACTTCAGATGCCTCAGGACGCCATGGGGTCCATGTAAATTAAAAGAAACCTTAGAGTGCAAATATAGACTGAATCAATAACTAGGTTCACATAAACAAAATTCAACCTATGAAGCATGCATACTTCTAATAGGTAATCATGTCTATATCGTACCTGTATCAGATATTTGATACTTCCTAAACGTATACAATACTTGATGTTAATTTTGAGAAATATCAGATACATATTGAACACTCTAGGTCATGTATCCAAACTATTACGAAATTGGGATTGTAATAATTGTTACATAATACCTTAATAAAGTTTGATTATTTATCAAAAAAATAAATGAATAAATAATAATTGTTACATAATACCAGAGCATAATTGTTAGAACAAATACAAGAATAGTGAGATTAAAGTAGTACCATACTTTCTTAGATTTTATCAAACTAATGTATCCTGTATCTACATCCACACTTTTAAAAAGTAAGTACATATATAATGAATGCATAAGATACTTTTGCATATAAGACTTCTAAGTTTGAAAGGAAAAAGAAGAACGGCAATATACACAATTTAGACTTAATATTGAAATGAAATGTTTATAGGATCCACTGAAAAATGAATAAATAAATCACTATTCTTTGATGAAATAAATAAATATCTAATTATATTCTTCTCACTATTCTTTGATCTCAAACACTACAAAAATAATAATTCAACATATCCTAGCGTATCCACATCCATGATATCTTATTTATTTAGATTTTATCGTATCTCCAAATCCTCATCGTATCATATCGTATCTGTATCCATATCCATGCTTCATAGAATTCAATGAATATTCTGTCAAAGTACCTCTGGTATCAAACATATATCAATTTGTCCACTAGCAAGGGAGGCTTGCATGGCTATAAATCCACTACTACGGCCCATCAACTTGACAATTCCAATACCATGATAAGCGCTATGTGCCTGTTAGAAGATTGGGGTTTGTTAAGCATTGGTCTTTGGAATCAGATATTGAGATATCGTCATTGGGAAAGGGTACTGAAAGTACATAACTCACACAAAGAGAGAAGTAAATTAATGCATGACGTAGAAGTGCACAAAGAACAAGGCAGAGCAGTAGAATTTTAAGGAACTTGTACCTCAATGTAAGCAGAATTTATTGCACGTTGTGCTTCTTCAACAGCAGTGTCAAAACCAAAAGTTTTATCCATCAGCAAAATATCATTGTCTATGGTTTTTGGCACACCAACAACAGCCACCCTCAGTCGTCTTTTACGGCACTAAACACCAAAGTGTGCATAATTAGACTTCTTTAAATGAAACAAAAACCACTAGAAGTGAGTATGTAAAGCATTCACAAATCAAGGGTGACTCAAAAAAGAATGTAAAACATCAAAAGATCCTCACTGAAACATATGTAGAAGTTTTAGCACGAGTGCAATAAGATGAAAACACAAACTAATACAGAACCAGAGAAGTTGTAGGTTTGTTCGAATGCACATTCCACCCGAAATGTTTTGAAACATATAAACAACACAAAGTTTAAATTGAGACGTGATAAATTAATGGAAGCCTAGTTTACAAAGTACGATTTTTTTTAGAATGACATTAAAGCCGATTAGAGAATATAACATAAAGAGTAAAAGCTACAGGCTTACCAACCTCATTGTGTATTGCATTGGCACCCGCATGGGTTCCATTTCCACCCAACACAAAAAGCATGTTAATTCCTCTTTCCTGACATCAATTGGCACATACATGTATAAGAACACATCATTCATAACACCATTTCCGGTTTCTATAGAAACCCTAGGGAAAAATAGGGAATGATATGCCAGTCAAAAGTGATCAATATAACACCTCCATACTATCCACGATGTCGCTAACACTGGGTCCTCCACGTGAGACTCCTAACAAGCTTCCACCAGAAAGATGGACATTTTGTACCACTTTCCTGGATAGCTGATAATCAATGACAAATTTAAACATACAATTAAATTTCCAAAACATATTCACAAAAAGAATAGGCATTTATATTTTAAAAGTTAAACATTAGTATAACCAGAATCAGCAAGTCTTATCCCTATGGGTTGCTTTGCAGATTCTCCATTTGGCAAGTAGTTAAAATAGCCAAAAAGCCGTATAAAAAGTCAAAGATTTCTTCTCATTCTCTCTACTTTTTGCACATTTTTTCGTAAAAAACCAAAAAGTCATTACCAAACACCTCAATTTTTTCACCTCATAGTTTAGCCAAAAAACCATAGTCACTAAAAAAGGCACTCCCCAAACAAACCCTAAAATCCATCAAAAGTTCAATATTATCTCACAACTAGCTCCCAACCCTTGCATCAACAGGAGCCAATCTATTTATTGTTGCTTTGCTATATTGTTTTTAATTAATTTAAAAATAAATTTACCAATCATTGTTTAACCCCGTGCATAGCACAAGTTACACGCCAGTATATACATATATATTATATTATATATATGTTTGAATTCACGCTCAGGTTGGCTCAGGTTGCTTGATGCCTTTGTGCAGGCCTAGACCAAAATTAATTTGGGACGAGAAAATTCAGCCCAAGTCCTGTCAAACAATTTTTATTTTTATTTTTTACAAAAAATAAAAAAAATAAAAAATAAAAAAACCAAGCCCAAAACATCTTCAAGTTTCACAAGTGTAACCCACCCCAAGTTGCAGTCCTAAGGGCTTTGCATGAACCATAGCCACAATCAGTTGGCAGACAAACCTGACCTTGATTCAAAGAACCACAATAAATAATCGAGGCAACATAGTAATATATCTTCCTACCAAAAAGACCATATAACAGTGTAGCTACTAATTGGCTACTGAGGCAACATTGTGGTGAAGGGTCCTTTCAAACCATAACAGTTTAAGCAACACCAATTCATTTCTCAAGTCATGAGGGAACAGAAGGGCTAGCGTGAGGACTAAAATATATGGAGAAGATACCATGATAATCAATTATATGTTTAGAAGAAATGTCATAACAGAGTATTTTAGATGTATAACAACAATTATTCTGATTAAATTTCAGGAAAGCAGTTCCAAGGATAGAAATAAAAACTCACTGGCATTTCACTCAAGTCTTTGTCTGAAAATCCGCGATAACCAAAAGGAATCCCCACAATCTTTTTCACACCATATATTTCAAGGGTGATAACAATCTGCAGCCATTACCAAACAAAAATGGAAGGATGAAGTCTGCAAGTAAAGAGATGCAATTCCTCCAATAATGATTTAGTTCATAAAGGTGCCCTTTAGATCTGCAAATCATCTATTACACTTCTGTTTGTGTTGGACACACACAACTTTTTAACTGCAATGAAAGTGTAGGGTTTATGTTTTTTCTTCTAAATGCAAAAGTGCATCATGGGAGACCTAAATCCTACAAAAAGACCTAACAAGCAATACATCTGTGAAAGATAAACACACTTTTTTCCATCTTTTTTTCCCTTCTTTTTTTCTCCAATCGTGATGCTGCCATAGTTACAATGACCTCATTAAAAGAAAACACATGTTTGATGTGGATACAAATTTTAAGCAAAGAGAGACATTTTCATAGAATAACTACCTGTCTGATGACATCATTAAGACCAGGGCAGAGTCCACCACAGGTCACAATTGCTGCTTTTACATTTTCCGGTTTAAAGTATATTTTCTCCCGAGGACCGGCACGGTGAACCCTAGAAAGTTATCAGCACAATTATATTGTGTCTATTACATAAATCCAATATTATGTCAAACATATACAAGAACATACATGAAATAACATAAAAATGTGACAGCAGATAAAATATAACTACTTGAATATTCCAATCATGGTTGTTAGAATCATACGATTCATGATTTGATTCATATGATTCGATACGATTTTCAACAAAAACGATTCAAATCGTGCTGTTGAATCGGAAATTGAGTGAATTGTGCGATTTAATTTGCAATTCACTACGATTCGTTACGATTCATATGATTCATTACGATTCACCACAATTCAATTTTATTTTTGTTTTTACTTACATAATGCCTGAAACAACATCATTTTCGCTAAACTAGCAAGATATATAGAAGAGATCAATTAGTTATATTAATATACATGATGTAATGTATGTATACATATATAAAATTTAGTTATATTGATATTTACATCATTTTAAACACACTGAGTGAATTTTTATATATACATTGGTATATAATTATATATTATATTAAATAAAATGAATTTTATGATTCATGATTCGATACGATTCACTATTTTAGCAAAACGATTCACAATTCGATTTGCGATTTGACAACAATGATTCCAATATACATTTATTGTTTTTCATATCAGCGATGTTTTGTTCTTGCTGGTAAAAATAACTAAATTAGTACCAAATTGGGTAGGGGGGAGAGAGAGAGCATACAATTCCCAAATCTCACAGTTTCTCATGCTCCCCCATCATTGATCATTAGGTACCGGAAATATTAGCGATATATTTTATTTGAAAGCATTACGCAACATCAAGTCAAAGGTTTCCTAGTATTATTAGCAAATGAATGTTTTGTCAATTCATATATGACATTTACCATTGTTCCACCCAAGTACAATCAGGATCAATGCACTCAGCACCAGCAGATGTAGGAGAGGAATAGTTTATAACCTGAAATATAAATAAAATACTTAAGGCAAATAATATGACAACAAGAAGAGTAACATCTGAGTAAAAGACATTAACTCCTTGCATAACATTAATGCATCAGTCTCTGATTTAATCATGTCTCTGAGCAACTCTATATCTGGTATGAATAGAGATCAAGAGTAAAGGAGATAAAATAACCAGTAAGGGTCAAATTAGGAAAACAATTAACTCCTAAATGGGTCTCATGTGCCTTTGTGGCAAATAAAAGATTAACTTTCTTCAGCTATGTTCATCTTATAAAATATGAATACCAAAATCGTAGAACAAACAATTTATATTTAGCATATTAGAAGACTATTGCTGGTCCATTGCACTCCGAGGTCTCCGATGTAGTGCCTACAAAGTCATCTAGTGAATTTGCTCCAATCATAATCAATGAAGTGGCCAATAGTGAATCAAAAAATGATCGTGTGCTATAAAGAGGCTAAAAAGAAAATAATCGAGGTTGTTGCCGGGAATATCAAAGAAAGCTTTATGAAAACTTATTTGGACGAATTCAAAGATGTGTTCTTTTCTATGCCAATTGACTTTGTTATTCCAGAAAAATAAAAAATAAAAAAACAAAAACAACTAGTGGCATGATTGAAAAAATCAATCTCTTATTATTTTTGTTGCAATCTCCAAGAAGAAAATGTGACGGCAACTTGAACATTTTAATATGAAGTCATGGATGTAATTTCAAAGCTTGTGGGTTATACTTCAACACTTCAAAACTCTGAGGTCGAGTTTTTTCTAACCATGGAAGAATGATGTAGTTCACAATAGGTGGAGCAAGGAAAACCAAAATTAAGGAAGCATTCATTTTTGGAAATTGCTTGGTTTGGAGCCGAACTCAATTGGGATCAATTGGAACCTTCTATAATTATGTTTCTAGTCTTAAAATTGTCTTATTTATGTTAAAGTTAATAAAGTTGCTGGGGTAGTTTTAAGGTTCGGGTTATTTTGGAAATTGCAGAATTTCCAAATATGGGTTGTGTGAATCGTCCATAGGTCCTCTTGTGAATCAAGTTATTTAATTAGTCTTTGTTTTGTTTCTTATTGGTCTTAGATTACATGTTTGGTTCCAGAAAATTGAATCCACCTTTTAGAAAATTGAGTTTTTTGTTTTCCATTTTTGTTTTTAGTGAATTTTTTTAATATCTTACACAATTTTTATTTTTTTATTTTTTAGATACACCTAATCTAAATACACTTAAAAAGTATAATATTTGTGGAAATTTTTTTTTTTTTAAAATTCATCAAATACAAAAATTCTATACATTTTCGTATTTTGTTGTATTCAATGAATTTTTTTAAAGATTTTTGTATAATTTTTTTACTTTTTAAGTAAATTTAAGATTAAGTGGATCTAAAAATTAAAAAATAAATAATTAATTTGATTAAAAAATTTTAAAAAAATCATTTAAACTACAAAAATACGCATTGAAAACTCATAAAATTGATTTTGAAAACTCAAAACCAAACATTAATTTCCTATTTTGGAGTTCTAGTTGGTTTAGAAAGTCTACTAGTTCTATATAAAGCCATGCAATGCTTATAATTTAATAGTATTGATATTTTCGAGAGTTTTCAAAGTTTTTGAAGCTTCTTTATGGATCGTGTGATGCCTATGGAATCTATGTGCGATGCCTAGACTTTTTCTTCTTCTTTGCACACATACCCTAGTGATTATTCACGGGTTACTACTCACAACCCTCTAAAAGTGCACTTTTCAACTTCAAAACCTTATCCAAGCACCCTCAAGTCAACACTAATTCATTCTCCTACCTATTAGCCTTCAATTTAACAACCCTAAGTTACTCAATGTTTAGGCCGTCAAATAACCTTTGTTTTCAAAATTCAGCTCTGCCTTACATCAACCTTCAAGACAAAGGATGGTCTCTATGAGTTATGCCATTTGGTCTTACCAATGCTCCTAGCACATTTCATATGTTTTATGAGGCAGGTATTTAAACCTTTTACTAGTCACTTTCTTGTCTCAATGTTTAGGCCGTCAAATAACCTTTGTTTTCAAAATTCAGCTCTGCCTTACATCAACCTTCAAGACAAAGGATGGTCTCTATGAGTTATGCCATTTGGTCTTACCAATGCTCCTAGCACATTTCATATGTTTTATGGTAGAGAGTAGGTGGATTTTTACTAGTCACTTTCTTGTTGTCTATTTTGATGATATATTAATCTATAGCAAGTTCAAAGAGGAACACATCTTCCATCTCCAACAGGTTATGAGAGTTCTTCGCCAAGAGAAACTTTATGTAAATTCGAAAAGGTGTTCCTTCATGAGTCCAAGCGTTGTGTTTTTGGGCTTTGTTATCTCTTCCAAGGGTGTAGCGGTTGATCCTAACAAAGTCAAAGCTATTATAGAGTGGCCGATTCCTACTACCTTGCAAGAAATTTGTAATTTTCATGGATTGGCAACATTCTATAGGCGCTTTGTCTGAAATTTCAGCACAATAATGGCACCAATTACTAATTGCATGAAGAAAGGAGAGTTTGTTTGGACCAACACAGCAACTCAAGCATTTGAAGAGATTTTTTTTAAAAAAAATGACTGAAGCTCTTGTTTTACGCCTTCTGGACTTCTCTAATGTGTTTTGAAGTGATTTGTCACACACCTAAAATGTGGAAATTGGAGGTATACTCAGTCAGAAAGGCCATCCAATTGCTTATTTTAGTGAGAAACTTAATGAAGCACGACAAAAGTACTCTACTTATGACAATGAAATCTATGTTATGATTCAAGCACTCCATTACTGGCATTAGTATCTTATATCCAAGGAGTTTGTGTTGTTTTTTGATCATGAAGCCCTCAAGTACATGAACTCCCAAAAGAAGTTGAATCATCGATATGGAAAGTGGGTCTCCTTCTTGCAAGAATACACATTCATGATCAAACATAAAGCTGGAACAAGAAATCAAGCAACTGATAAGCACAGCCGTGTGGTGCTAACTCTCAACTCTATGTCCATCTGAGTTATGGGCTTTGATTCGCTTGAGAAAAACCACGTCTTGCAAAGATTTTAGCATAATCTACACTGATTTAGTGCATGACACAAACATGCGGACATGCAAATTTTCAAAATATAGGAGACACGACACGTTGAGGACATACTCAATATATAAATTTTATTTATTATTATATGTAAAATTAAAAATATATATTATATTTATTTATTTTTTTACTTTAATATCAAATATCATTCACAAATTAATTTTTTTCTACAAATAAAAATAATTTATTTTATGTATGTTAATGTTTTCAAACAAGAATATCCACACAAAAAAAATAGAAAAAAGGAGAAAAAAAAGATGTTTGTTACTAAAAAAAAAAAGTACTACAAATTCATCTGAGGGGGAGGGGAAAAAAAAGAAGAGAAAAAACGAATAGAACAAAAAGAGAGGCAAACACACAAAGGAGAGAGAGTGAGAGAGAGAGAAAGAGAGTCGAACAGACACAAAGAAAGAGAAAGAGTTGAACAAACACAAAGAAAGAGAAAGAGTCAAACAGAGAGAGACAAACACACAGAGACAGTGAGGAACAGAAGAAACGATGAAAGAAGAAGAAAAAAAGAAGAACAAAGAACAAATTCGAAGAAACGAAGCACATATCTTGATCTAGGGCTTTAATAGGCTCTTCTTCACCCTTTCTCTTTGTCTCTCTCTAACTTCAATGGGTTAGGATCTCTCTCTCTCTCTCTCTCTCTCTCTCTCTCTCCATAACGTCTCCAAGAGTGTCATAAGCGTGTCTGCTATAAAAATTCAAAAAAAAAAAAAAAAAAAAAAAAGGGACATGTTAGGTAGAGTGTCTAACACTTGTTTATCACGTGCCCGTGTCCAACACTCATACGCTGCCTCCGGAGGGGTGTCCGTGCTTTACAGTCTTACATGATGGGTATCGTTTTAAGGAAACTCGTCTTTGTTTGCCCAGTACATCTCTACGTGAAAAGGTGATTCGAGAATTATAGGTCAATTTGGCAGAGACAACATGATTGCAATAGTTGAAGATCATTATTATTGGCCAAGTCTTAAGCAAGATGTTGCTAGAGTTATTGTTTTTATCCTAAAAATATATTAAAATGATGAGTATTTTCAAAAAAAAAAATTGTTTTTATCCTTAAAATATTGAAATAAAGACAGAAAACACTCAAAAAATTCAATTCATGTAGTCACCACAAGAAGCAACTAAACATTCCATATCAATCAACCCTAGAAAAAAACACAGTTGTGTTCAAACAAATGTTGGTTCACCAAATATATCTAACAAAGTTGAACAATTTTTTTGAGTGTCAGAACATCAAGTTCAATAGCAGGTGGAACCTCCCATTTTTAAAAATAAAACTAAAATTACAGAATTACACCAAAATTTGAAGTGAAAGTTCCAGGAAGGTTATCAAGAGAACATTAACCAGAAATAAAAATACCTTCAGAAGTACTCTGTCATTGTTATTAATGTAACCATCTGCAAAATCTTGAGTTGGAGTTCTGCAATAGAAATATACATATATAGGAATAGAGAGCTTTCATCAAATGCATAAAGCTACTGATAGTAACAACAGAACAATCAAGCAAAGTTGCACTTGTCTAGAAAATGCTATTCATATGAACCTAGTATTTTGAAGCAAAAATATGGACTTAGGCCTCGTTTGACATTTGTTTTAGCTGAAAAGTTAAAAATTATTAAAAAAATCAAAACGCCTATAATCTATGTCAAAAAATCAAATATTCCTTTTGTTTCTTTTTGTATATCTTTTTGTAAAAACCAAACAAATCATTCCAAGCATACTAATTTTTTTATCTCAGGACCAAAAAAACTAAAAAATTTACTAAAATAGGTTGTTCCCAAACGCGGCCTTAATCAGAACAGAGTAATACATAGGGGACAAATTTTAAAGTTTGATAGACAAAATTCAAAGTCAGTCGCACAAAATCTCCACTAAAAAAAAAGGCAAACAAGATTAGACAGCAATTTCAAATTCACACATCAAATCAGTAGGAAGGAATTAAAGGCCAAAAGTTTAAAAAAATCAGAGCAAAGTGATAAAGACTAGTGATCTTCCAAAAATTATTTGGTTTTAAAATCATAGAACAGTGCTAAACATTGTTAGAAAATTCGAAAATAGATTTCATTTCAGATACCTCATACGGAGGCAAAAGGTGGAGGGAATGGGAAGGGCGTCCTCGATAACGTCGGTGAGGTGAGGAATGTTGAATCGAGCCTGGAAGTCATCTTCGTACTTGGACTTCCAATCACGATCCCTAAAGTCGATCGCTGCTGCAGACGAGGCCGCACGAGGCTTCGTGTTCTCCGCATGCATGCCATTAATCTTCTTGTTCTTGTTGCAAATTCGGTTCAGGTTCGGCTGGAGATCAGGGCCGAGGATTCGACGAACTGAACGGAGAGGAACAACCAACTTCGGACCGATCACCGGCGAGAGCGAGTCCATCAAACGAGCGTGATTGCGTTTGGACTTGTATAATATTCAACAACACCGGTGTGTTTGTGTGTGTGATCGTAAAGGCAGTGAAGAGGAGGTGGGGTGTGTGTATGTATGGAGATGATTGAGTGAGGCAAGTGAGGAGAGGGACAAAGAATAAGACTGCCAGAGAGACGAAGAATCGTCAAGTGAGAGAACGTTTTTAAAAAATTTCAACGACGTTTTAAAGCGGCTTTTCATGACCAAAAAAAAACAACCCTTTCCCAAGGCAGCCGGCGCCGAACAAAACAAATTTAGGAAACGCTATGGCACCCACGTCCAAGATGCGTATTTATATGCGTGGATTATATATATGTAATTGTGTGAATCGCATATTTGTATGAGCGATTTAACAAAAAAAATTTAATAATTTATTTAGAGTTTATAGTGGCCTCGTTTGGAAAGTGACTATTTTAGTAAGTTATTTGGTTTTTTAATTATTTTAGTAGGCTATTTTAATTTTTGTGTTTGGGAAGTTGAGATAAATTTTATTTGGGTTGTTGTATTGAAAAATGTATTGAAATGATGTTTGAAATTAAAATGACAAATTTGTCCATAAAAATATATATTTTTAAATTGTTGTCAAGGGATAAAACCGTAATTTACCATCTAAAAATCAAATTTTGTAGCTGACAGTGTAGGCACAGCCTACACTGCCGCTGTGCAGGCCTTATTTTTATTTTTTTATTTTTTTTTTGAAAAAGCTTGCAAAATAGCTTTTTGGCTAAAATTTTTTTTTAGGCTATAATAGCCGGCCAAATCACTTCCCAAACAGCCCCAGTATTTTACTTTGGTTTAATTTGAAGACTAATCACTGTGGAAAATATTAAAAAAATTCACTAAAAATAAAAAATATGGGAAATAAGAAAATAAAATTTCCTAAAAAATGTTTTAAAAAAACTATAGTGATTTTTTTTTTTTTTTATTCACCTAAAAAAAATCACTGTAGTTTTTTTAAAACACTTTTTAGGAAATTTTATTTTCTTATTTTTCATATTTTTTATTTTTAGTGAATTTTTTTAATATTTTAAATAATTTTTTAAAATTTTTAGACACACGTAACATAAATATACTTAAAAAGTATAATTTTCATGATTTTTAAAAAAAAATGCACAAAATACGAAAAATATTTAAAAAAATACTAAAATTTAATATATTTTTGTATTTTTATATATTTATTAATTTTTTTTAAAAAAATTTCATAAATATTTTACTTTTTAAATAAAACTAAGTGAGGGATCATCTAAAAAAGTTAAAAAATTGCTTAAAATTTTAAAAATATTCACTAAAAATTAAAAAAAATACAAAAAATAAAAGCTCAGTTTTAAAAAAATTAAATTCATAAACTAAAACCAAACACACTGAATAATGTTCTATGTATTAATTGGTATATTAATTAATGTATTAATAGATTGTGTGATATAATTTTAAAAGATATGCATATGAGTAATGTTAGAAACTCTAAAAATTCTATTAAAATTTTTACTAAATGTCTGACATGGGTGTGGATTTTTAGGGTCTCTAACATTTTTGTTTGGATATATAATTTGTATAATGGATAAGATCATAATTTTGAAATAATGATGTCATAATGTCGGTGTTTGGGAAGTTGTCATTTTAGTAGACTAACATTTTTGTGTTTGGAAAGATAATTTGATTTTTTTGTAATTGGATGTGATATTTGTGAGAAAAAAATGAAATTATTATAGATTTGATGTGATATTTTATCTTATTAGCTATTTTATTATATTTTGTCTTTTTGTGAATTTTAACCCAAAAAACAAAAAAATAACATTTGCCAAACAAGGCCAATATTTGTTAGTATATTAATTGGTATATTAATTGATACATGTAACATCATCGTTTGAAAACACGTGTTTGAAGAAAAAAAATTCTAAAAATTAATTTAGTGAAATTTTTTTATTTTAAAATATTTTTATTTTATGAAAGGACATAAATAATTTTTTTTAATTTAAAATTATATTTTTTATATTATTTTTATTAAATTAGTTTTCATTTTTTTCTAAAATGCAAATCAAACATGACTTTCTTTTTTGTGATTAAAATAATTAAAAAAATAGAAAATTAAAAATTAAAAAGGCAATGAACTCAATAATTCACAGTTTTTGTATATAACTAAAAAAACAATCATTCTCATCATGATACAATCATTTCACTACAGTATTAATAAGATTTAATAAAAACTTTATATATATTAAAAAAAAAAATTACACACACAAAAAAAAAAGAAGAAGAAGAAGAAGCAGGGTTTGGCCTTTTTAATAAATCAAATTCTGAATTTTTAATTTTTTAAATTTAAATCCTAAACTTTCAAATTTTTAATTTGGACTATTCATCAGTCTCTCTCTTATACACTAACGGAAAAAGATAAATTTATCAATTTATTTATCATAATTATGGCCTCTTTTGGGTAATAGATTAAAAATTACTTTTTAATGTTTAACTTATTTTTAAGTTATATCATCTTTTTATTTTTTATATATTTTATTAAAAAAATTAAAAAATTAATTTTTAATTTAGGAGTTTTTAGGGTGTCTTAAATAAGTGTACTTTTTATTTTTTTGGACTAAAAAGTTGAGGAAAAAAAGATGAATGCTTGGGTTAACTTTTTGACTTTTTGCGAAAAAATGTGTATTAAAAAATTATATAAATAAATGTATAGGAGAAGTTATTGAGTAGCCCGTACAGTACCTAGGCAGTGTAGTCGGCTGGTTAGGAAATGGAAAATGGTTGTCTTCTTTTTCGGGTTTGAATTGACGGTGTTGTTCAGCCTGTATGGGTTCACCACGGGTCCCGTTTTGCTAATCGGAACCGTTAAATATAGAACTCGTCGAGTACTATATATTTGTATAAAATCACGCTGATCGGATATCGATAGCTATCTGATCGTGTTAGTTTTTTTTGTCAACCGTTAACTATAACACCATCTATTTTTTATACAAAACTGATTTAATCATGTAGCTATCTAAATGCGATTAGCGTGATTTTTTCAGGCATATAGTGCTCGATGAATTCTACACATTAAACGGTTCGGATTATCAAAACGGGAACTGTAGTGAGCCCTCACTAGCCCAACATTACCCTCCGATTTAATAAATATATATACCTAATTTTTTTTTCCCCTTTGACAGCCTTTCCATCAATTCTCAGTACCAGTCATGTCTTTGTATTAAAATATGTAATAAATTATTTTTTTTATATTTTTAATTTGTAAATAGTGATAACTTTTTAACTTTTTTAGTAATTTTTTGACTTTTTAAATTTTTTTAGAGATGCCAAACTAGGCCTTAAGAATAAATTACACCTTAATGCCTGTAATATTATCAAAAACATTTTAAGCTTGGCTTTAATTTAATTCTTCTGTTCAAATCAAACTTCAAAATTAATAATTTTGGGGAAAATTACATATACCCCCTCGAGGTTTGGCTAAATTACAGATACCCCCTGAGGTTTGAGAAATTACGAATTCCCCCCTGAATGCTATATTTGCATAAGAAATTAGGGGGTAATTTGTTATGAAATATAAACCTCAGGGGGCAAATTGTTATGAAAATACAAACCTCAGGGGGCGGGATGTAATTTCCGAAACCTCAGGGGGGTATCTGTAATTTAACCAAACCTCGAGGGGTGTATATGTAATTTGCCCTAAAATTAAAGGGCAAATTACATATACACCCCTCAAGGTTTGGCTAAATTACAGATACCCCCCTGAGGTTTCAGAAATTACATCCCGCCCCCTGAGGTTTGCATTTTCATAACAATTTACCCCCTGAAGTTTATATTTCATAACAAATTACCCCCTAATTTCTTATGCAAATATAGCATTCAGGGGGGAATTCGTAATTTCTCAAACCTCAGGGGGGTATCTGTAATTTAACCAAACCTGGAGGGGTGTATATGTAATTTGCCCTTAAATTAAAGGGCAAATTACATATACACCCCTCGAGGTTTGGCTAAATTACAGATACCCCCCTGAGGTTTCGGAAATTACATCCCGCCCCCTGAGCTTTGTATTTTGATAACAATATGCCCCCTAAGGTTTATATTTCATAACAAATTACCCCCTAATTTCTTATGCAAATATAGCATTAATATATATATATATTGTGGGATCTAGGCTTTATTTTTTTTTAATTTTATTAAAACTCACATTTGTGATAATATGTGACTAAATTTATTTAAGAAATCTTTCAATTAATACACAAAATCTATATATTTACAATGATGTCAATATATTTATTTAAGAAATGTAATGTGTAATTGAATTTAATTATTAAAATTTTTAATTTTTTTAACATATAGTTCGATGGGTGAACTTGGAATTTATAATTATTTTCTGAACTGAGCTTGGACAGATATAGAGACATGATGTTAGGGTTATGCCAGGCTTAAGCAAACACAATAATGTCTCTTATTATGTAGTGTCGATCCGACTTGACATTTGTTCACCTCTACTCTTTACCAAACCTATTACCACAACTACCCCTGTCCTTTCTTTCCTAACCTATTGTCACAACCACCCATCCATCTCTTTCTCCAACCCATAACCAGTCACCCCATCCCCTTTCTCAACTTTTCCAAGCAACGCAAAGCTCTTTTGTTTCAACCATCCACCACCGGCTCTACCCATAACCACCACCTCTTCCACGTCCTTAACAAATAACAAGTGAAAAAAATAAAATAAAAAATACACAATTGCAAAATCAAAAATCACCCAAATCCAATAAAATAGATGGGAGAGTGAAAATCAAGCGCGCGTAAGAGAGAGAGAGAGAGAGAGAGAAAATTGAACAAAAATTGCAGGTAGTAATGTCTACAGGACAATGAATCAAAGAATGATGGTGGAGATGAATCAAAAGCAGTGGATATCGATGGGGAAGAGTGGACTTATTTACAAGATAGGGAAAGGGAAATCAAAGGGAGAGGGTGATAAGAAAGGCAATGGAAGAGGGTAGTGTGGTGGTGGAATAAAGGAAGATAATAATAGGAGTATAAAAATGGCCCACAGTCCCTGGGCATTCCGAAGCTCGCCCGTGGCCCGAGGTAGGCCCGACCAGATTAGGCTCGGGTCCAAGCCCAACCCGAAACTCTGGGCCTGGGCCATCATTTTGAAGCTCAGCCTGCCCAAGGCCCAGTGTCATTTTTAGTGGAAAAAAATAAAATTTTGGTTAAAAAAATAAGAATAAATATTGAAGCCCCAAGCCTAGGCCTTGCCCGTCTAATACTCGAATATCCCCTGGGCCTAGGCCTAATTTTTTG